AATTTTTAATAGGCATATCACCACAAGGCACTATAATGTTCATTTCAAATGCTTACGGAGGTAGAGCAAGTGATAAATTTATAACAAAAGATTCGAGGTTTTTAAATAATTTATTTAGAGGGGATTTAATTTTAGCAGATAGGGGTTTTTCTATTGACGAAAGTGTACAGATATATTCTGCTAAAGTAATGTATCCAGCATTTTTAAAGGGAAAAAAACAGTTAGACGCCAATGACACAGAAACAACTAGAAAATTGGCAAGTGTCAGGATACATGTAGAAAGAGTGATAGGTCACCCTTAACGAAAATATAGAATATTGACAGAAGAATTTCCCTCAAGTTCTTCACGTAAAGGAAGCCCTGATGTGGCTCAAATAGGTAAAATTGTTGTAGTTTGTTCAGCTATGCTCAATTTATGCCCATGCATAATCCCACTTCAATTTCTTTTCAATAAATAAATCTTTAATTCATTTCAAAAAGAAAACTCAAAGTCTTCCTCCACAGAATACTTTAATTAACTCTTAAAGAACTCTATGTTGCAAAGCTAGAAAGCCTCATCATCAGGGGCAACATGCAGGCCTCTTTGAGAGTTAATTAAAGTATTTTGAGGAGGAGTAGGTGGTAGACGCTTTTTACTCATTGGGCGTCGACCGGTGAGATACCACCATGCCAGAATCGAGTAGCGCTAAGTGGTATCACCACGTTCCGCTACTGCGCTGGCAGTCCGGTTCCAACAATGAGTAACAGATAGCATCATGGCGCCTCCAGGATCAAAATATTCCGGAGGTAAAATACCCGACCACTCGGATCTCCGGGCGTCGGGTGATCCTGGGGGTCCTTCATGCAAAGATATAAAGAGAAGATCAAAAACTCAACTCAGAATTGATTTTAGCAATATAAGAGGAATAAGTACAAATATGAATTCAGTTCACCAACATCTTGAAGAACAAAGACCTGACATCCTTGTTCTCACTGAAACTAAAATCAGTTCTGCAACACCTATTGTGAACTATCTTTATCCCGGCTATGACCTACACCACCGATTTCGACATAATTTTGGGATCTGTGTGTACATTAAAAATGACCTTTCATGTCATCGAGAGGAGAAGCTAGAGCCAGCGAACCTTGATATCATATGGCTAAAATTCACCTCAAAGTCATCGACCAAGTTTATCTGCTGCCTCTACCGACCGCCAAGTAACACCGATTACCAAAACTTTTTCGCGACATTATCCGAAAGCTGTGATAGTATACAGTCAAACTATCCACAGGCGGAAATTGTCTTTTTAGGCGATTTCAACGTCCACAATATACCCTGGCTGAAACACCACAACAAAACAGATAACGAAGGCAGAGAAGCAGAAGCTTTTGCCATAAGTTGTGGTCTAACGCAGCTTGTCGATGAACCTACCCGTATCTCAGAAAGGGGCGAATTTGCAGCGCTTTTAGACTTGTTCCTAACCACCAATCCTGACTCGTACACAATTCAAGTAGATGCTCCACTTGGTTCGTCCGATCATAAACTTATAATAACAAAGTGCGAAATGCTCATCCCACCAAGCCTACAACCACTTCCTCGTAAAATGTGGCACTATAAATCGGCAAAATGGAATGTCCTAAAACAGTATTACCTGGATTTTCCATGGCAAGAGGTTTGCTTTAAAACAGCTGATCCCACTATTTGCTGTAATGAAATAACACAAGTAATCTTATCTGGAATGAACGCATATATCCAACATACAACTAAACGTAGAGCTAATGCAAAACCTTGGTTCAACAGCCAGTGTCAAACGGCTGTACAGAAAAAACACAGAGCATATAACCTTTGGAAACGACAACAAACCGCTCAAAACCACACAGAATTTATAGAAGCCAGAAATAGTTGCAAAATTACTATTGACTCCGCTAAAGAAACATACAATCAAAGAATAAAAAACAGGTTGCTGAATTGTCCAAGTAGTTCTAGGTCCTTTTGGTCTCTTGCAAAAGCTGTTGGATCTAACTTCACCAAGTCATCCATACCACCACTTACAGATAAAAATAATCACTTAGCCACAACATCAGAGGAAAAAGCCAATATGCTGGCCCAAATGTTTTCCTCCAACTCCAACCTAACAGTGCCAAACGGAAAAACTCCACCGTTCATTGAAAGGGTTTCCCATAGTATGCCAGAGGTACCCTTTTGTCACAGAGAAATACGAAAATCCCTTAAAAAGCTGGATACAAACAAAGCAATGGGTCCGGATGGCATTCCCGCAATAGTACTCAAAAATTGCGCCAACGAACTCACCCCAACTTTCGCAAAATTATTCAATTTGTCTTACAGGCAAGGAGTATATCCATCATCATGGAAGTCTGCCGCAGTACAACCCATTCCAAAGAAAGGAAAAAAGACAGATCCGTTAAACTATAGACCAATTGCTCTACTTCCGGTGATATCAAAAGTAATGGAAAGAATTGTGAACAATCACCTAACTAAGTACTTGGAAAAGTACAAAATTATCAACGATAAGCAATACGGATTTCGAAAATATAGGTCAACTGGCGATTTACTTACATACGTCACCCACTTATGGCAAAAAGCGATTGAGTTGCGGGGTGAAACAAGAACAATTGCCTTAGATATATCTAAAGCATTCGACAAAGTTTGGCATGAAAATCTGCTCAACAAGCTCAAAGCAATGGGATTATCGCCGAAACTTTGCACTTGGTTTGAAAGTTACCTAAAGGACAGATCCATTTATGTTGCACTGGATGGCCAGAACTCCAACTCTTACCAAATAAATGCTGGTGTGCCACAGGGAGCAATCCTTTCGCCAACTCTTTTCCTGATTTACATAAATGACCTCATAGATAAAACAGTAAATCCACTTTATTGCTTTGCAGACGATGGCAATGTAGTCTCCTCACTCATACCACCCACAGGTCTTTCCGCACGTGAATTCCATCATCTTAGACTAACTCAAATATCGCAGATAAATGACGACCTGGAGATAATAGAGGACTGGGGTAACAAAAACCTTGTACAGTTCAACGCGCAGAAAACCCAAGCAGCTCTGTTTTCAAAAAAGACCAGCACCGGTGAGCCAAACATCATGCTATCTGGAAGCGCTGTCATATTACAGACTCAGTTGAACATCTTGGGGGTTACTGCAGAGACCAACATGTCTTGGCACAGTCACGTGGCAGATATTGCTAAAAGGGCCTCCCAAAAGCTGGGGGTGCTATTTCGTACAAGACATCTGTACACACCAAGCCAATTGCTGACACTCTACAAAGCCCAGATTCGACCAACTATGGAGTACTGCTCACATATATGGAGTGCAGCACCCAAACATACCTTAATGCTTTTGAATACCGTGCAAAAACGAGCTATCAAGCTGATCAATGACCCCGCACTTACTCGTAACTTGGATGGTCTCGAACATCGCAGATCTGTGGGCGATTTATCTCTCTTCTACAAGTACTATCACGGAAAATGCTCTGAAGAGTTGGCACGTATGATTCCACCGAGAGTAGCACCTACCAGGCGAACCCGTCAAACAGACGGTAACCATGAATTTACTGTCAAACTAGAGGCACCAAGAACCTCATTATATTAAAATTCATATCTCTGGAGAAAAGTTTAAAAAAATGATTCTTTTTTTTGGTGATAATATTTTGTGTTAATTATTTTTATATAATATTGTTCGTAACACACTTGAAAATAAGGAATTTTGTATTGTATTGACTGACTGAATTAAAGTATAGTACATAGACAAATACAAAAAAATGTGGTTTTATTTCATTAAATATTTTAGTAAGGTATAAATAAATAAACAAACTTTTAAAATGTAAAAAAATCTATTCTGATTCAGAATAGGCCTTGCAAATGTCACAAATCCAAACTGAGCTTTGTATTTTTGACAAACCTACACACTTGAGATGATACCACTCTATTCTGCACATTTCTGCTTCACAGGCAATCATTGGATTAACACCATCATCTTCTTCCCTACAGATGCAATATAATTTCTTGCAGGGTCCTGGTTCTGGAGAAGTTTCTTTCTCCTTTGGAACATTACTTGGTCCAGGCTTTGACTTCTTCTACATTTTCGCTTGTAAAAACTAGTTCTTGGTATAAATCGATATCAAGAGACTCCTCGGGAGACTCCTCTAATTCTTCTTCTGCTTCTTTTGGAAATTCTCCCAAAACATTGGTTTGCCTGCTATAATACCTGCCTGAACATTCTGGCAAGATTATATCGAAAAAAAATTGTTTTGCAATACCACCATTGTCAGTCCAAAAACTGGAATTAAAAACAATTTTACAGTATGCAAAGTCTTTTTTGCACCATCCTACCAAATAAGAATATTTCAATTTTGTGATGGCCATTTGCATTTGCACTTGATAATATTAATCATGGTCTTTTTTAATTTGCAATTCACCATTCACTTCCTTTAAAAAGGAATATTTGTTCTGGGTTAAATCCAATATACTTTTGAACTGGACACAGAAACTATGCCATCTGGAGTAGCACCAAAAAACTATAGTTCAGGATCTATGTAGAGACCACATTTCCTAATTTGAAAATTATGGTGTTGTTGTGTCATATATGATAAGAAGTCCTTCAAGGCATACTTTTCATGTTCGCAGCCATATTCCATTGCCCTCACCCGGAGTTTAGTGGGATAACAAATTCTTTTTATCAAAGATATGGAAGGCTTATCAATTTTGGTCCTGCAACACTTTTTAAATAAAGATGCAGTGATCCTTCCTAGACGGTGAGTAAACCAAGAATTACATTTCGATTGCTGTCTCGTTTCTATTTCAATAACTTTGCAGTCATCAATGGACATAAAAACTTGCAACTTTTGGCCTAAAATAATATATTAACGTTATTTAAACAAATCGATTACCTACATTTGCATTTTATTTACCCAATTCTCTCAATTCCTGTAATGACTTTGTCTCATACTCCTGCTTATAAAAACGTAGAAAAGACAATTGATTTTTCTCCTTAATCTCCTTGTGTAGGTACTTCTTTGGAGAATGGAGGGATTATATTATGCAAGGCACAACCCCCTGCTTGCTCCAAATTTTCAAGAAGGGACATTTGGTCTTCTTTTGAAGGTGCAAGAACAGCCAATCTGACTTCTTCTCTTTGGAATATGGGTTTGTCCTGGGATTTTTGCTTTGCGGTTCTGAAATCAATTTTGGCAGTAGCTGATGGATCTGCTGGTTTGTTTGTAGGAGGCATCCAGTAAGCCTTTACCTCCGTCCTAGTTACTTCTCCCCTGGATCTTCCTGCTTCATCCAAAGAAAACAGTACAGCTCCTATATGGGTACACACTTCTCCCAATCCTGCAACACAATGCAGTGAGCACTATGTACAGTTCCATCTCCGTTAGTGATTATCCATGGAGACAGTAGCTTTTCGTTCAGTCGTTGCGAATGCATCACCTAAAATATATTTTTTTATTCTCGGCCCAATGTGGAACAAACAGACATATATATCATTTAAAAACATCTCACAGATTAATTAATCAGTTACCTACCTTGCCAAATACCAATTTATAAGATGGAAACACCTTCACCCCAATTTTCTTTAGCCAACCACAAGTAGCTTGATTATAAGCCTCAAGGCTTTTGTAGGCTTTTAATTCTTCCATAGTGTATGCACTTTTTGTATGTACCAAATACATTACAATGTCAGGGTAAAAAGTTGGAGGAAAGTTTTCTAGACGTTTGGAACAATTTTCAATGTTTATAATCCACTCCCAAGACAGATATCTTCTGCAAATATCTTATGGAATGAGAACCTTGCAACTCCTTGGCATAAGTACTTAGATTGTTGTCCATTTTGCTGAAAATTATAATGTATTGTAAAAAATAATTTGAATTATACAAATATTATCGTATACATAAATATATAGTACTAGATTTTATTAGAATTGAAAAGAAATTACAAAGAAATTATATGGTAGAAAGTCCTTGTCCTTAAAACTTACCAAAAATCGTAATTTCGATGAATGCAACACAAAGTAGTCTTCTTATTACTAAAATATTGTCTCTTACAAATCCAAACCAAACACAATTATCCACTAAAACTCAAAAAATCCAAATAAAACACTCAAAAAACAATCAACCAACACGTTGTACATATACAAACAAATGGTATAGGTTATGTTGTTATAACTCCAGGGTAATTCTGTGACGTCACGCGCACGAAACCTATAGCCGTAATAGGTTATACTATTACTGCGCATCCGGTAGTGCATAGCCACAGCCCCCTACATTTAACAAGCCATGAAGTTAAAAAGGCAACACCGCAATCTTACCGCCAAGTGGTGCTGGTGGTGTTTGTTTGTATAAATATATATTTTTTATTTTATTAATATGAATCACAAAAAATACATAATTTATTGTACTAAAGGGCCAAAAACAGTAATTCAATGAATAATTTAACTATTTGTGTAAATAAGAACAGTAAATAATTGATTTAAATGAATATATTTCTAGAGTCTAAAGTGTTATAGGCCTATGTTTCAGTATTTTCGAAAATAAGAGGTACCTACTTTTAAGAGTTGGACGTTTTAGTTTGAACTCTCGAACTACGCCTTTATCCTTGTTTGTTTCAAATCTAATTATTTCGGTTTCTTCAAAATGTTTACAACACACCACAGAATTTTTCGTTATTGTATAATCTCGGGTATAATTATCTTGGTGTATTGCTTTCATCCACATTTCTTGCAATTCAGAATTTTTTGGAAATGAAAATGTTTGCATTTCTTCAGTTTTCAAGGAACTCCTAATAGTTCGATTTGCACCCAGGAACACAGTAGTTTCATGGCATCTGGAACAAGTTTAAATATCTTAGGTAATATATCGAGACCTATGCTCTTGCAGACAAATATTAATATTGTTTTTATTGTTTTACCTTACTTTACCTTCATTTTGGCTCCTGTACCCATTTGCTAAAAATTTGCAATCAAAGCACAAAGGAACAGGTATCAACTAAATATGGGCAATATATTGGTGTGTTTCTATCCACTTTTTCGTCAATAATGCCCATAAAAATACTAAATTGCAACAATACACAATGAAAGCAATACACAGAAACACATAACCCAATAACAAAATAGCACCATACGCGACGTTGCCGTCATTTCCAATTTCATGGCTTGTTAACTATAGGAGGCTGTGGCATAGCGCATTGCATGGGCGCCGCTAGCCAGCGGGACAGGGGGGGCAAGGCACGGGGGTCCTGTCCCCATACATGCGCCACCGGTGTAAATTTTCGCAAATGTGAAGGTCATTTTTATGTATGTATAAAATGTATGCTCTTTTGTGGATTTCTATTGACATATGTTCTATATAGTGTTCTATATTTTAATTAAAAAAAAAAAATTGGATTAATTTTCTCCGCTATTCCATCCACAGACGCGTTTCGACCTATCAGGTCTCGTCAGTATGGCTAGGAAAGCAAAGAAAACCAATCCAAGTTTAATGCCTGTAGGCAAAATAGTGGATAATAGGAGAAAATTTGTTTTCCCTATTCTGGGTTTTCCCAACTATCTGATTTTTGGTCGGCCTATTAGATGGTCATGGCCTATGACGCATTGCAGAATGTTCGGCAAGCTAGAGACTTATGAAAGATCAATCCGATCATCCGATTCTGTTTCATCTCTTTCTGTCTTACCAATTCACAAGACAAGGACACTGTATTTGTTACAGAGCTTTCCGAGCTGCTTTGTAGAAACCTATGAAACATCCATGACTCTAGAAACTGTGACCAGAGAAAACAAATAAATAACCTTAAAATAACGACATTCACAAACGACATTTCTGTGTTGAAATATTCTGTGTTGAAATTTGTCATTTCTACCAGATTGGGCGGTCGTCTAAAAGACTCGAACTCACAAAATCTAAGGAACAACAAGAAGAAATTGTCATTTTTATTAAGGCACTCGGTATTGCGGACCTATAATATTATGTACAGCTAGGATAAACTGAACCAGTAAGTATACATGTTAGTTTGCTGACGTTGATATACGTTCAATTAGACTATCCAAGATACTGTCAAACCTAAATAAAAATGCCCGCCAAGAGGCACACAAACATTGACACAAACACTTTGTTTTCTTATCAAAGTCATGTGTTTTGGATAGGCGACTCATAAAGCCTAGTACTTATAACCGCGAAATTCGCTCTTTTTTGACATTGTGTCGACAATTTGACGTTTTATGCGGAAATTAAACGTCAAATTGTCAAAGCAATGTCAAAAAAAGCGATTTTCGCAGTTATGAGTACTAGGCTTAACCAAGGTGCTGTCAAACCTAAATTAAAATGTCCGCCAAGAGGCACACAAACTCTTTGTTTGCTTGTCAAAGTCACGTGTTTTGGATAGGCTAATACGGCATATTTTTTCACTGTTTTAGGAGACCTCAATCAAAAGAGATAAAATGTAGTTGTCAGGCCTTGGCCAGCTTAACTTGTACAGGGTGTCCGAATTTGGATGGTTTTAATAGGTAACATCAATTTCTGAGCAAGATACAAAAAAATGAACCCCTCACTCCGAGGCTCAGATTTCTTGAAATTTTGATTGGTGCAAACCGCATTTTGATATCTTCAACCGTTTAGACGCTAGAGGGCGATTCTCGATTTTGAGCAATAATGTGAAACCATCATAACTTTTTTGTTTATGAAAATTATTGATTTCCGTAAAAACTTTCTAGAAGCACTTTTTAAAGCAGAATTCAGTGACGTTCTCAGTTTTTTTCTAGTTGGTCCCAACTCCGAGATATTGACCAAAGTCTGGTTTTTTCTCAATAGGACACTCTATATAATAATAGCTCATTAGAAAGCTCGGCTTTTTCTGATTTCAATGATAAAAGTTCGATAGGTTTATCTCTAATAGTTTTCGAGAAAAAAAATTATTTCGGTTTTTGTCATAAGAAGCAATGTGTAAGAAAAGGACTTTATATCTGTATGGAAACTGAAAAAGGTCTCTTTCTAACTCATTGTTTCTTATGACAAAAGCCGAAATATTTTTTTTCTCGAAAACTGTTAGAGATGAACCTATCGAAATTTGTATCAATGAAATCAGCAAAAGCAGAGCTTTCTAATGAACTATTAATATATAGGGTGTCCCATTGAAAAAAATCGTATTTTGGTCAATATCTTGAAATCGAGGCTGAATAGAAAAAAACTGAAAACGTCACTGAATTCTGCTTGAAAAAGTGCTTCTAGGAAGTTTTTACGGAAATCAGTTATTTTCATAAACAAAAAAGTTATGAAGATTTCACAGTATTGCTCAAAATCAAGAATCGCCCTCTAGCGGCTAAACGGTAGAAGATATCAAAATGCGGTTTGCACCAATCAAAATTTCAACAAAGCCGAGCCTCGGAGTGGGGGGTTCATTTTTTTGTATCTCGCTCAGAAATTGACGTTTCCTATTAAAACCATCCAAATTCGGACACCCTGTACATACATTAAAGCTTAAAGCATGTTTAAGGAATGTTATAACTGTGAGAACTGTAGCCGAAAAACCTAGTTTTTTTTTTTTTTTTTTATAATGTTTATTTAATATTTTATACTTGTAACTTTGTTGTTTATTGTTAAAATATTTATTTTTGTGATTTTTCAGCAGGAGAGTTTTGCGTTTGTTAACTCTCTATTCGACCTATCTAGCTATAATACATATATACCGGGTGGGGCACGAAAAACTTTCCACCCATGTTTTCTCAGGTGTTAGGTGTTTAATCAAGAATCGCTCAGACACGTCAATTTTTGTTTTTTGGGGGACACATTTTATTGGTATTTTAACCCCCTACCTGCGAACCTCTGAGTGGGGGTAACAGGTACCCTCAAAATTTCAAATGGAAAGAGTGGTCGAGTGATATGTCATTTGGTAGCTATTTTCATTGAGATTGTATCCCCGAAATTTTAAGTTGCTACTATTAACCCTGCCGAAATGGCGGCATGTCAAAGTTAGGGTAAATGCTTTTTTTCGATAATCTAAACTGTATCTATAGTTTTTACCTGTCACACCTATGCGTAGGTAACAGGTAAAAACTACACAGCATTTTTCCATTGATTTTTCCTAACTTTGATAAGCCGCCATTTCGACAGGGTAAATAGTAGCAACTTGAAACTTCGGGGATATAGTATTAATGAAAAAAGCTATCAAATGACGTATCACTCGACCCCCCTTTTCATTTAAAATTTTGTAGGTACCTGTCACCCCCACTTAGGGGTTCACAGGTAGGGGGTGAAAATACCAGTGAAATGTGTCCCCCAAAAAACAAAAATTGACGTGTCTGAGCGATTTTTGATTAAACACCTAACACCTGAGAAAACCTGGGTGGAAAGTTTTTCATGCTCCACCCGGTATATTTTTTCCTAGTACAATTTAGTGTTTATTTTTCCTTTTTTTTTTTTAATCTACATCAAAAAATTGCATAAGACTTTATGGAGTACCACATCATTTTTCTCATTCGGATCTGAGAAAAAAAGATGTGGAACAACTTAATAGTTATTTTTCGTGCAATCAACTAAGTTCAAACTTTAAAATTCCCGCCATTTCAGTATTTGTTCCGGTTGCCACTATTGACGCCACCATCGCTTTGACGTCAGCGCTATACAAACTTTCATATCATCAATCAGGTAC